AGACCTGCCTGGGCAACTTGGTGAGACCTCATCTCTACAATAAATCAAAAATTAGCTGGATGTGGTAGCGCACGCCGGTAGTTCCAGCTAATTGGAAGGCTGAGGTGGAAGGATCGCCAGAGCCCAGCAGGTCGAGGCTGCGGTGGCCGCTCGGAGCATCCACTGCACTCCAGTCTGGGCGACAGAATGAGACTCCAACTCAAAAAAAAAAAAAAATTTCTGTGGGCTTTTTGGCCAAAGATATGGTTATGACAATATTTTAGAAGGGTAAGAAACACTGGTATAGAGGGTATTGGAGATTAATTTGAAGTTTGAATGTAACAGTTCCTCAGTGAGAAGTTATTTTTGGTTTTGTTATGTATAAGTTGCTTTGTTGTTGATTTACCAGTTCCTGGTGGCTTTCTTTTCTGTAACAGAGGGTATCATTGTTCTCTCACAAAAGTAGGAAGGAGGTTTGGTGGTTGGGTACTGAAGGCCCAAGGAACTTTCTCCTATCTAGAAATGGTGGTTTCCTTCAGATTGTAAGATATTTAGATTAATTCTGTATACCATATAAAAAACTTGCCATTGAATCCTGTGGGTTACTGAGCAGAATCTGCAATCTAGTGTGTTCTTCATACATGCATTAAGAAGCTAGAAGATAAATATACACTGAGCTGTTACCTTAGGTGAACCTGGGGAGAGGAATGAGGACTTTTACCTCTGTTACACAGACTTCTGTGCTTAACTTTGTTTTGTATTCTACTTTTAAGAAGCTGTGTTTCCTTTGGATTTTCATAGGTTAAGATGCCATACTGTTGAAAGCAGTAAACCAAACACTCTTACTTTAAAAGATAATGCTTTTAACATACCAGATAAAACCAGTGAAGATATATGTCTACAAGTAAGTATACTTTCTTCCTAACTAAAACCAAGTTGTTAATGCTAATCAACATTAGAAATCTATTTTTTCCCACCCATGTAAGGAAAAACCTTTGGCATAGAAACAACAGAAAGGCTGTCTTCTTTGTTAAGAGGAATGGTAAAGTGGTGAGTTACTTTTGGAGAGCTACTAGCTTTTTAAAAGTTCTGGACATGTTTAGCAAAATGCAAGATACTTTGGGGAGTATCAAAGAATTTGATCTTGCAGAAAAGTACCAAGTCATGCATTTAAATTGTAAAAGAGACAAGGGCTCTCTAAGTGACTGATGGTAGCACAAGGGTTTCTGTACCTCCAAGAACTGATTCCTCTGCGCCTGTCTCAACTAGAAATTTAGACCTTTCAGAATGAGACTAAGCAGAGACCCGTGTGTCTCACGAGCAAATCTTGTGCCTTGTTGCATTCCCACCTTCTAGCCTTTCAGAGTAGATGGACCCCATCCCTTCAGTGGTTGCATTTCTAATATTCCTGTTTGTCATGCCCATGATTGATGACTGTTTTATTGATACAAATCTTTCATCCCTTTTTCCCTCTTCAGCTCAATCGTTTACTAGAAAGCAATAGGAAGCTTGAAGACCAAGTTCAGCGTTGTATCTGGTTCCAGCAGCTGCTGCTTTCCTTAACAATGCTCTTGCTTGCTTTTATCATCTTTTTCTTCTATTCATTGTACAGTTAAAGAAGTGGTGCAGCTCCTTCATCCATTATTTGGAAAAAGTAACAGACTTAAAACTTCTCTACCAAGATACTAAAAGTATTGCACATCTGTACTTCCTAAAAGGAAATGTGCAACATGTAGAGGGGAACACATACATGTCTTGATATAAACTGTTAGAATAAAGAAATGCTGGAGAAATTGATTATAAGAGACTATAGCTATTTAGTAAAGTAAGTAAAGGCATATCCATTGTATAAATTAATAGTTTATAATTTATTTTTTCCTTTTGAATTGAATACTTTCAAAACTTAAGTTTTATCATGTAAATACATTAGCTGAACTGAAAAGTATAAGTAACATGCTTTGTTGCAGCCAAAAATGTAATCTGCTTTTTTATGACAGAATTATTATAGCTGAGCCAACTTATTAGCTTTTCTATACTATGTATATAGAAGAACATGTATATTGAAAAAGAAAACATACTTATACAGAGGAATTTATGTAATCATGATTTTGTAGTTTTGAGAATTACTTCCAGATGATGGTCAATATTCTTTTGGAATGTAAGCCTATTTAATGCCAAACCACCTTAGCCTTTGTTTCCCGGTGTTCCTTAACAGCCTGCCTTTTATTAACATCAGGCTTTTTTATGAACACTCTCATTTTGGTAGAATTTGGAAAACTAAGTGTGGTTGGACTTTCTTTGAATTCTGTTAGTAATGCCCAGAAGGAAAGTCTTCAGCAGTCCCCTGTCCAGTCATTTTTATGCAGCTTCATGTTGTCCACTAGGCCTGGACACTAAACTGTTTGCCTAATTTATCATAAAGGCCCGATCCTCCATTATTCCATCTTCATCCTCATTCCAGAGCAGAGCAGTCTCTCTGTGGACCAAGAATTGTACCACCTCCACCCTCATTTCTAAATGAAAGGTGTTAAATAAATGTTTTGAAAAGTTAGTTTTTTGAGATGCCAGGGAAATTAGTTAATTAAGTTGTAAAATGTTCCTTATTAAAATCAGCCCATTAGCCGGGCTCGGTGGCTCAGCCTGTAATCCCGCACCTTTGGGAGGCTGAGGTGAGTGGATTGCCTGAGCCCGCGGGTTCGAGACCCACCTGGACAGCGAGACCTCATCTCTACAATAAATCAAAAAATCAGCCGGGCGTGGTGGCGCATGCCTGTAATTCCGGCTACTCAGAAGGCTGAGGTGGAAGGATCGCTGGAGCCCAGCAGGTCGAGGCTGCGGTGGCCGGGAGCGGCCGCTGCACTCCAGTCTGGGCGACAGAGTGAGACTCCAACTCAAAAAGTAATAATAATAATAGTAAAAATAAAATAAAATAAAATCAGCCCATGAAAAGGAAACTTAACAAAATAATAGTGTATCTATAAGGGTGAAAAGAAAAAAAAATTTTAAATAGAAATCCAAGTGTCAGCTTTCCATTTATAGTGAAAAATGTAACTCATAATGAACTGCAAAACCTTCAAACCAGGACCAATTGACTTACGTGATATTATGCTTTTGGTACAGTGATATACCCATCTGGTATTCCTAAATTCCTAAAAAGATACACTTCGTAGTAGCAGAGGCTAATGAAATGAGTTTGTTTTCTCCTTAACATGACCAGTTTCAGTCCAAGTTGGTTCACATGTACGTCTTTCATATGGAAAAAAAATAGTCTGTTTGCAAAATAAATTGTGGGTTTCGATTGAGCCATGTTTGGAGATTTATGATTATCCTGAGGTATACTGGTGTTGGTTTTCATCCTAAGAAGTCTATCCCGAAATTGAGTTATGAAGAATGATAAAAAAGAGTTCCTTCAAAATCGGCCTAGGAAATAAAACCTTAAAAGGACACTGGTGTGCTACTTTGTCTTAATTTGGGCTTTTCTATTTCAGTTTGCCACCTCCAGATGTGAAACAGACTGCAGTCCACCCTAAGTACTGTGCACAATATCTCCCTGTGTGTGTGCACAGTGGCCTCCCCTTACATGGTAGATTTTTGGCCTACTATAATCTAATCTCAAAGTATCTGTGTATGTTTTTTTGTTCCTCAGCAAATAAATGAGGAAATAATTACAACCAAGATTGGACCTGTACTGTCCTAACGGTGTCCCTTTAATGTTTCTTAAGAAAATTGTGTTGACCCACTAAAATCTCCTTGCTCAATGTCTGGTCAGTTGAATTTAATAACATATCTTGTTAGTGTTTGTGTGTCTATTAAATGTGACTAAGCAGAATGACTGAAAATTAACTATAAAATCAAAGGCTTCAAAACTTTTGTACTTGTCTTGATTAATCATATATATTTACACTTGATTTTATTCTGTCTTCATTTGGTTTTACTTAATCACAACTGCATGATTATTTTTGGTACTCTAATTAATAATTTTATTTTGAATTATGTCATTACTTGTTCATGACCAAATTACCAAGGACCAACATTTAGATTTAGATTTTTGTTTTCACTTGGGAATGGAAATTAATAGATTTTCCATGAAAGCATTAATGAAATATTAGCTTGATCTGCAGGTAGCCTAAAAATACAATTGCTGGTAAACCTGGCCTCAAATTTCATAGTACCGTAACTGTTTTTATATCTTGCCACTAATTTTGACTGGATTTAATAGCACTTTATTGTACAATTACAAAAAATATATTCCTAGAATTGTTGCCAGTGTAATTTCTCTAATGTTCTGGTGCTTTTCATATATTTTCAGTATTTTTATTACTATATTGGTATTTTCTTTGTATAAATTGATCAAAAGAACATGTTTTCTATTTTAATATGTTTTAGAAAAATAATTACATTTATGAAATAAATATCATCAGGAAAAAACCTCTGGTCTCTAATTGATAAAGCATCTTGAAGAAAGTCAACATTCAGACTTACTCAGACTTTTTAAAAACTATAGTAGTAATTCCTTTTGGCTCTGCTTTGCATTTTTATAAAGACAATGCTGCAGGCTTCCAAACATGCAATCCCATATCAGGTAAGCCTATTCATTAGTGTGTCCTGTTTCTCCTCGTCCCTGTGTCAAGTTTGGCTGCTTTTCAGTACAGTTCTCTGTTTTCCCCAAATTTAGCATTGGACTCACTGTCATGGCTTGGAGCTCATTGAGCCATTGCTGTCAGAAATGTCCATGGTTTCCCCTATCCTAGGATCCATATACCATCTCACCCGATGGGAGGGAGCAGGACACAGGCTAACAAGAAGTCCTGACTGCCAGGTGCATAGAAGGTGGCAATGGGGCCCTGTCTGTCTTGAAATCAGTCACATGTGCATGGCCTGGGACCTGGGGGATGCTGGGGGAAGGGCAGCAGGGCAGTTCAGGATGTTGGTGGAAGAGGCCTTGGGGTTGTAAAATGCCTGATATGTCGCCACTGAAGCACACAACTCCCCAAATGGCCAAATGGCAGCTACCTCGCCATAAAAACAGAATGAATAGGACAGGTCCCTCTTCTACACTGAAAAAGATGAAGACATGCAGATACAAAAACAGTCGGGCAGAGTCCCAACCTTCTGATAAATTCAAAATAAGCAAAGAACATTAACCTGTGAAAAAACACCATACCAACTCGGAACTCTGAGGGAGTGATCTCCTTTCCTAAAGGACATCATTTTCTAGGAAATAAAAGCTCCTGTCAGGCAAATCTCCAGTTAGGAAAGGACTGGTTACTTCACAACAATCTCCAGTTTTTTCTTCCCTAAATTTTCACCACCAACTTAAGGTCTCCTGAATTAGAACAACACAGACCCCCCCCCCCCCCGAAACAGGGCTCCCTGGCCCAAAGGGACATACTAGAAATCTTCCCATTTGTTCCAATTGAGATAATGGTGGTTAGGAGTGAGGACTCTGAGGGTAAGACTACCTGGGTTCAAGTTCCCTCCCTGCCACTTCCTACCTGTGTGACTTGGGAGAGTTCACCTTGTTCCAGCCTATTTCCTCTCCCTAAGTGATAATCGTGATACTGCTTCACAAGATAGGTGTGAGAATGAGAAGAAGTAGTGCATCTATAGAAGCTAGCCGTATCTTACTGATACATCATCTCCACTGGCTTCCTAGAACTTTTCATACTTGAGTTGATCTTACTGAATATTCCACCTCATTCAAAGCCAAATGCCAGTTCTCTAAACTTTTCAGTTTTGTATTCCTACCCTTCCCTTTTTGACATTTCAATAAAATTATCACATCAGATCTTTCACATCTGCATCTTACTTTGTCCTTATATTGAATAAAATTACCTCCCTGTAATGTTCGGTCTCATACCTTCCCTACCCCCCACTCATGTTGCCTGCCATGAAGAATAAGACAAACCTCTTACATGTTAAAATATTTGAAGACAACTGGTTTAACTGGTAAGAATATAGAGAGATATCTCCCTGACCCATAGGAATAAGATTTATGCACATTTTCAAGTATTTCTAGTGGAACAATCTGAGTGGTCCTTGACTCTAGCAGTTTTTCTATCTCCTTTGTCTTAAGCATTCTGGGAACATATAAGATCTTATGTTTTATAGATAAGGAAACCAAGGGTCCAGGAAGTAATTTTTTCCCCCATGGTAACATGACTAGCCTATTTCAGAACCAAAAGTCCAATGCTGTCTTGTTATGACCACCAAGAGCTGTCACGTTTTGTTAAAATGTTGAATGAGTAGGTCTGAGAGCTTTACAAACACTAACAGTATAAGAAAGAAGAATGAAGACAGCATATTTGAGAAACAGAGGTGACAAAATAGAATAGCCACACAAGACCTTTGGCTGGAAAAGTAAGTTTCTTGTTATTCTAAGCTATAGGCAAACCTTACTTTGAAAAAGGTTTTATACGTACAGATTAATATAGTAATTACTTTTATAGATTGTTTCAATGTGCAAAATTAACCTTCAGAGAGGTTTATTCATCTCTTAGAAGGGCATCTAGTAGGGTGTGTGGCCACTAATTGTCTCAGGAGCCATAGTCTAGTGACCTGAACAAGTCTTCTGTTTAATAAAATTAGACACAGTGGCTTGCGCCTGTAATCCCAGTACTTTGGGAGGCAGAGGCAAGAGAACTGCCTAAGTCCAGGGGTTCAAGACCAGCCTGGGCACCTTGGCAAGACCGCGTCTCTAAAATAAATAAACAAACAAATAAAGCAAGCCAGGTGTGGTGGCACATGCCTGTGGTTCCAGCTACTTGGAAGGCTGAGGTGGAAGGATCACCTGAGCCCAGCAGGTCAAGGCTATGGTGAGCTTGCCGTTGCACTCCAGCCTGGGTGACAGAGTGAGATTCCTACTCAAATAAAATAAATATAAGTAAAATATAATATAAAATTAAGAAATTAGAGCATATATTAGTTTTCTATTGTCACATAAATTTTCACAAACTTAGCAGCTTAAAGCAAATTTATTATCTCACAGTTTGAGTCCAGCATAACATGGCTGAGTTCTCTGCTCAGGGGCTCAGGAGTCTAAAATCGAAGTGTCAATTGACTGTATTCTCCATGAGGGCTCATCTGGGTAAAGATCAGCTTTCAAATGCGTTCAAGTTGTTGGCAGAATTCATTTCCTTGCGGCTGTAGGCCTGAGGTTGTCAATTTTTACTGACAAGGGGGACTGCTCTCAGCTCCTAGAGGCCCTTCATAAGTCTTCACTCTGTAGCCCCCTCCATAGGCAGTTCACAGCATGGCTGTTCCCACTTAAAATCTCTACTTTCTGGAAGGGCCCTGTTCCTATAAAAGGGCTCACTTGATTAGGAAGGTATTCCTTGGGATTAACAGAAAGGTCATTGATGTGGAACCTTAATTACATCTGCAAAATCCTTCTGTCATATAACATAAACTTATTATGGAAATTATTTCCCATCATATTCACAAGCCCTCCTCCACTCAAGGACAGAGATTATACTGGGTGTGTGTTGGAAGGACCTGCAAACTCATCCACTTCAGTCCCCCAGGAAATGGAGCGTCAGAAAGCTGAACTCAGTCTTACCCAGTGTGATTGACGGCTTTGAATTCACAGATGTTCTGCACCTGAAAGAAAATAGACTAATACTTCTGTTAGGCACAGAAATAACAAGCGTGGGGACAGTATATCTCTATTTTAGTTGACTTTCTTTAGTCTCACAGTTTTGGTTCTCACAAGTATTCAAACTTTTATAAATATATTGTTAAGGGAAAGTATGTCACCACTGTTTTAAACATTTATTCAGTCATAAAAAGCACTCAAGAAAGATTCTCACGATGAGTTAATTTGCTAGAACAAAGGGTACTTCCAGTAATTGTATTATGTTATAAATGAAGCTCTAGTGAAAACAATTAGCTTTTTTAACTTTCCCTTTTCATTCAGATTATTCCATCCATTTTAGTTAATTTGAGTTAGTTTTCTCAGACATAAATATGCTCTGTGGAAGTAACTACATAAAAAGGTTAAAACTGTAAAAAAAAAAAAAAGAAAAGAAAAGAAAACTCCTTACAGAGATCATGATTTTTCTTACATGCATCATACTTTTTAGCATTTGTACTGTCCAATCTACTTTGGATTAAGTTCTAGTGCTTTAAATTCTATTATTCCAGAAGGCCCTGCACATTTTCAGACGGTACAGGAGCTATGTATACATATACATGTGTTGAAAAATCTTACTGATTTCCTGGTTCATTTTTGGAAGTCATGTATGCATGTATTCTTAATTAATTTATAACTGCAGGAAACTTCCAAATCTCCTAGTACTATGCCTGTTCCCTTTCTCTGCTGAATCTAGGGCTATAACTTACTATTTGTGGTTAAATTTGCCCTGAACTGTGTTAGCCCACTAACATGCAAATATGACTGAGCAACTTGAGTCAAACAACAAATAGCAGTTCTCAGTCATAAAGTAAATGTCAAAAACGTGTTTTGGGTACTTTTTCCAATATTTTTACACTGTGACTCCAGCTACTTCTTTTTAGTGGGGTTAGAGAAGAAGACGGCTATTAGGAGCAATAACAATAGTATGATAGTCTAGCAAAATTGATTTTTTTGTTTTTTTGTGTCAGTTTCATAGTAAGTTGCGAAAAAGGATAAATGAAAGGAAATTGATGAAAAAAGTGAAGCTTCCTTGCAAATCCAGTATGTACTGCTCTGGAATTTTTTTAACTGCTTAAGATCTTGTCATTAAAAGTGGAGGTGCATCTTACAGAGGAGTTATATTCTAAAGTCAGTGCTTAGGAAGGAATTGAGTATAGTTAGAATTTTCTTTGAAAATTCCATAGAAGAGTGTCATAATAAAGATAAGCATAGTAACTCATAGCTTGGTGAATCCAAATCTTCATTTTTAACACAAAGTATTTGGTCTATTTTTTATGATTTTGGCAGGAGAAAGGGGCCATGTAGCCCAATAAATATATGTAGTATGTCTTAGAATCACCATTGGCAAGATTCTCTTGCTTTAAGAGGCACAAGAGAATTGAGCATGAATGAAAGAAAAATATTCACATTTACCATTCTACATGTGTGGAGTGGACTAGACCCCTCTTCCTGCTAAGAGTTGAGAGTCAGATGTAAGTGAGATTGCTCATATAGTTAGCGAGGCAAGTTAGCTATTTTAGACATGAGGGGGAAGGGAGAAATACTGATCTGGAGATTAAAAGGTTAAAACCTTCCTGTGATTTGTAACTACTATGAAACGGACACAAACTTCCTATGGCCTTGTAACCACATGAAACTGATACACAAAATACCTATATAAAAGCCAGCACTACCCTGCCCTCCAGTGCGTCTCCCTCTTTGAGATCTCTCACACTCCCCACTTTTGGGTGTGTACTTTCAGTTCAAAATTAAGCTCCTTCCTTTACTTTCTGTTACTCGTTTTTTAATTCTTTCC